CTCTCTCTCTCTCTCTCTCTCTCTCTCTCTCTCTCTCTCTCTCTCTCTATCTTTCCACTCCGGCCTGCCACACGGCCTCACGTCAAATTGTAAGTACACCGCGGAACAAAAGCGCGCATTACGAACGGCTGAAGTCACTTTGTACATTGCCATCGTGTCGTCAATTGTGCGCAAAACGGCCCGAACGACACGCGCTCCGAAGGAGGTGAGGATATTACCCGCGCGAGAGATACCACGAAGTATCGTCGTGGTATTCGCGTCGTGACAGCTCGCCCACGTGCAAAAATGCAGAACCGGCCGATTTGAATTTATTTTGAGATTAGGAGCGATAAGAAAGACGAAAAGGAGGAAAGAGATAAAGAAAGAGAGACGCACGGCGAGTACCGAACGTGAGTCGCGCCGATACGGTATAAGGATTAATGAGCTATCCACGAAGGGGCCAGCGCGCGGCGCTACCGCGCTCGTTACGTAACCATAAATTGCGACTCTGAAAAGATCGCCGGTTTCCTCCCTCTGGTGCTTATAACAGTACCCGGTCGTTTTATATTTCAATTTTATCCGCGAGCACTATCGGCCGTGTGTGTGCTCGCTCGCTCGCTCACTCGCTCGTGCGCACCTGTTTTCATCTCCCTACTTCTCTCGCTCTTTCTCTCTCTTGTTAGGGACACCGCGCTCGGGAGAAAGAGCCGACGATTTTCCAAGAGACTTTCACCCTTTTCCTGCCCCTACCTAGAGCGCGGTGCAGCGGCCGCTATTTAGCACCGCAAACACCGCCTCGCCCCGCTACTCCGCCCGAGTGCGGCGCGTTCAATCTCCGCGCGCACCATCGCGCTGGCCAGGAACAAGTTCAGCCGAGCACCGCGAGGGACGAAGAGCGAGGGTGGAAGAGCGACTGGCTAAAGGAGAGAAAGAAAGAGCAAGAAAGACGAAACAAGAGAGAGAGAGAGAAAAAGAGAGAGTGAGAGCGGGGGAGTGGGAGAGACGGTAACGTTGGTCGGAGCGAGAAAATAGGCAAAGTCTCGGAGGAACGGAGACGGAGGGAAACGGTGAGGTCTCTCCCCTCGCTGCTCTGCGAGCGCATGCAGTTTAAGACGCACACCGGGGACCGTGTTACCAGCACGCACACACGTGCGTGAACCAGTCTAACCACCTCATCACGAACAATCTCCTCGTGTTACTCTTTTCCTCTCGTTCTATCGGGCTCCTCGTCTGGCGCACGCCGCGAGGCAGGGCCCTCTTTGTTCAAAGGCAATCAGCAGGCCCCGATAACGGGGCCTACTCTGTCGTAACCCAAGACACGAATACACACAGATGCATCGACGGGGAGCACGTAGAAGACGCACTGGAGAGAGAAAGAGAAAGAGAGAGAGAGAGAGAGAGAGAGAGAGAGAGAGAGAGAGAGAGAGCGAGAGAGAGAGAGAGAGAGAGAGAGAAAGGCGGAGAGAGTACGCGCACTCGCACGTTGTGTGTGTGTGTGTGTGTTGCAGAGTGTGGTGTACGAATACAAGCGTCCACCAGAGCTACGCGCTCGCGAGAAGATGCGTAAAAGATTCTCTGTAATAGAAAAACGAATCGGCACACGGAGACGGTTTTTGCCCGAGGTTTTCTTAGGATCTGCCGAGCCTCGCACGGCCGGTGTACGGTTAGTGGCTTGTGGAAACGGTAGCGCGCGGTCGGTGGCTTCTTTTTCGCGACGTTTACGAGCGCTGGTCGCGATTACCGCGGCGGCCGCGCGTTGATATGCAGGAACAATTTGTTAGCATGCTCGGTAATACCAAGGCCGAGGAGAGCGAGCGCAAAGACGGAAGGTGCGCGCTCGCGTTGCGGAGGTAACGTCCTCCTCAGCCGGGACGAATCCCGCGGTCGAGGATCGTATTAGCTGTCGAATCTATAGCTCGTAATCCAATTAACGCTACACGCGAGCGGAGGAGCGGGCGGGTGGAGCACGCTGATCAAAGGATTGATCGCGCGAGCCGTCCCGTTATAATTGCTCCGGCTACCAGTGTTAACGACTTTGCAAACTAAGGAGAGAATTCCATTTCCGATTGATGAATCCTACCGTAACGGCAGGCGCGCCTTCATAAATTGCTGCGGAGTCGGCGGTACTATTCGAAACATGCGCCAAAGTCCAAGAACGTCGTTCGTTCGTTTCGTATAGCATCGCCTTCGCCGCCGGTCTCTTCCTGCACGATAACTCAGGGGATGCATCAGATATACCTTACTCCTTTGCGACAATCCACTAACAAATTATTCTCTCTGTCTCTCTCTTTCTCTCCTCCTTTCTTTCTGGCGCGCATGAACGCACTTCCTGCAGTATCAATATTCGCCGCGATAATCACATTCTCGTTGTTCCGATCGCGATACGCGAGGTTTAGAAGAGACTGCGCGAATCGATAAACGTTTAAGAACTGGATCCATAGAATCCGGCCGGCGTGTATCGTGAGATTGCAACAAATAATTGGTTCGTCGCGTGTTCATTTCGTATATATTACAGATCGTTATCTCGAATCGTGTGAACCGTCTTTTAGATGGAATAATTAGGTTCTCTTCAGTTCGATAGTATTCCTATTAAAAGCAGAAGAGGGTACACAGAAGCTAACCTTGGTATATAACAGATGAATTATATACAAGATATACAGTATAGAATATACAAGATAACAAGTATAAAGTTTTAACGCGAAGCTCAGTTATTTGCATTGATCACCCTTATCTTTGCTCATTCATCTCTTGATCGAAGCACTCTACAGTCTAGCGGACCAATATCCCAAGTTCGATCTCTGCGTTAGCCAAATTATAAACTGAACACATGACAACTTCGCGTCGACGGATCCTCCGCGAACGTCGCTGTTTGCGTCATTTAATTTGGCGTGTTAACTTTTGCACTCGTGAATTCGAACCCAATACATCAGCCAGCTTACGATAAATTGTCTAATCTGTTCTTTATACAGAATATAAGAAAGAAATAGGCTTAAATTTCGTGCGAGATTTCATTTCACGATTTTGCAAGTGCATCTCCTAATCCCATGATCCTCTCTAAAACTAAATAATAAAAACATTTCTGTTATCTCTAGAAACTGAGAGCAGATGCTGCATGACTGCAAAGGGTTAAGGCGAGCAAGGGGAGCGCGACTTCTCCATGGGACTTCTTCGACAGCTATTGACTCGCGTATCATTGCCCGATGTCATGCACTAGCAACGAACCTCCGCGCTCGAGAGGTCCAACGCCGCGAGAGAGCAAGAGAGGTAAGGATCCAGGTCGCGACACGCATGAGCGCACACGCGGTGCGGAATTATTACGAAATGTCTCTCAGAGCCGTGTGGTGTGTCCGAGAGCGCGTAGGACTATCGAGAGCTCAGGACCGGCGGCGCGGACCGGTCGCGCGATTTACATAGGTCGTCGTCGTGATTGTTCGCGCGGCGATGCGAGGTCGAGCCGTGCCGAAGCCGAGTTATTAATGGGAAAACTACGAGAGCGCCCGTTCGCGATATTATTGCCGCCCACGGGAGCAGCGACGGTAACAGCAACGGCGGCAAACGCCAACGACACACAGGGGAGATCAACCACGGTTGCGGCGAAAGGTTGCTCGCTCTAGGGCCGCGTGACTCGTCCTTGACGACTACGCGGGATTACGTGTGGGTCATACCCTTCCTCTCTTATCAATGTCGGGTCCCTTTCGCGGCTAAAGTTACCGGCAGCAACCCCGCGGCCGCGATAACCCCCTCGCGTCTTGTCGCGCGGACTTGAGCGCGGTGCGCTACGCTTCCCACACTGCGCACTTCCTGACGGCCCATACCGCGAGGCCGCTGTCCAAGTTGACTCTGTCATGAATGAGATAATGGACAGTGTGCGTTACGTTATTTGCATGTAATTCGATCGGATCGCGTATCGTCGCGGCGTCGGCCGCCGTTAATTCCGGCAACGGCGACAGCCGGAGCGTTCGCTGGATAACGTAACGCGAGACGAAAATGAGAGTCGATGCGTTGATACACGTACGTACACGTGTACGCGCACTGCACCAGCGACGTACACCCTTCATTATCGTTATTATCATTATCATCGTTGAAATATCGCCTCTTGCATCGCCAGGATTCCAATCGTATAACCCGATCTAATTGCGACGTGGACGATGAGGATATCCAGACTCGCGCGTTCTCGGGAAAAACAACTCTCCGTGGAGCATCACGAGAAAATCAATGACATACACCATTTTCGGATCCGCAACTAATAGTCACTTAACGACTCATCATGTAAATAATAAATAATAAATAAAATAATAAATAAACGAATGTAAATAATAAATAAAATTTTGTCCAAATGAGAGAAGCGAAAATTTATTTAAACATCACCTAATTCTGACTACGAATTCGCGACCTCGGGAGAGTTAGAGAGAGAGAGAGAGAGAGAGAGAGAGAGAGAGAGAGAGAGAGAGA